ATATATAAAGAAAGAAACTAAAATGTGAAATAAAACTCTTCCTCGTTTGGGCAAATATTTTTTGTTTTTCCCACAACTATATATGCGTTAAGAAAAAAATTTAAAAAAACACAAATAAAAATTTGTTAAATAATTACTTTGAAATTTAAAGTCAACGAGGCGTTAAATATTATTTAAATAAAAATTAAATACTAAAAACCAAGACTACTTAAGCTTAAGATGTCTAAAGAAAGAGGCATCAAGCCAACAAGTCTAACAAATTTAATAGAACAGAATACTTTAAAAGTATATTTTTAATTTGATGATAATTAATTAAAATTTAAAAAAGTTTAAAGAATAATACAAAAATGTATTTAAAAGAAGTTTGGATGTAAAAAAGGTAAACAGTTTTAAGTTTGAATTTTGTAAAGAAGAGTATTTGACCATTTTTGTTACTCTAAGTTTGCTCTATTAACCTTTAAATTTTATCCGCTGAAGTTTTCAATTTAACTTTGATCACTAATAAAATATTTAATTTTTCTAAATATCAATATCAAGCTTAAACATCTTCTTTACTTGAGTTTAATTATTTGTTCAACCATAAACTGTCAACAATCAATAAATGACACTTGGTCGTTTGTTACTCTTTTTAAGAGTTATTTTTTATTTATTGTTTTTTACTTTTTTGCAGTAAATAGTTTTAGTTTATTTTATGATTTTTTTCTCTTATATCCAACTGATGACATTCAAGTTTGTATTGGAATTTATTGTTACAATTGCGTATTTTGCTGTCAACTTCTAGTTTTTTTTTAGATTTGATTTTAAATCATTCTATTCATACTGTTGTAGAAGTTTTTTTGTGAAAACACCAGTATTTGACACGTTCCTCCATACATAAGTCATTTAACAAGTGAACTTCATTAGTTATTTATTAATTCATAACAAATGTATGATTTCTATTGTACCCTACACTAATTAATCAATGTTATTTTAAACAAATTTGGTAGTTGCGACTGCAATAAATATTTTAGGAATTTATGGAACATTATTAATATTATTTTAAAATAATTTTCAGTAAGTGTTCTAGTTCCGATCAGTAGTTTTTTTAATTTATAGTGACTGATTAAAATTTGAAAAATTTTAAATCTCACTTTATCAATGACATTTTAAGGCAATTCCTGATGATTAAAGTTATTTATATTTTTGTATATTTATTTATATTTTTGTGTTTAAAGGCCTTTTAAATAATTTTTTAAAGGGCCTTGAGTATTTACAATATTTATTCTCATTTTTATACCCTACACCTTATGCAATTTTAACGATAATTTGACGAGATTTGGCAAAGCCTATTGAAAACGGTTAAAATCGGTCCATTATTTCGTATAGCCCCCATATAACCGTACACTTCGAATAGGGCTTTTGAGCTCATAAATATGTTTTATATAAGTCTTACCCCCGTTAACTCTTCCTCCGGTTATCGTTTAACCTGTAGATATTCTGCCAGTTAAAATATTTTTTGTATGAAAACTGTTTAACTTTACGATAAAATATAACCAGACATTGAGATAATGGGGATTAATGATATTGCTGATTTTCGTAATGATCGGCCCTCATTTGAGTCTTCCCCCATATAAAGTCCCCTTCAGAAAATGTCTTGATGGTCAAAATTCACTTACAAACACTAATATCACGATGATATTCTGCATAAATAACTAATGTAGACGTAAATCCCTCTACTAAAATTTATAAAGGTAGGACCATATTAACGCCTGCCCCCATGTAACCCCTCTTTTATCAACAATTTGTTAAAATATTTCTGAATTAAAGTAAAAATAAAATTAAATACTTTATTATTATCTATGGTCAGACATGCCTGACTACAAATTCTTACTTGTTTATGGTCTATACAGTCGAATTGTATAAGCGAATATTTAAAATTAAATTTTTAATGTAATAAAATTTACAATGTGATATTTGCAATTAATTATTTAAATATTTTTAAAATTAGTATATATTACTATTTTAAAATTATACATACATATTTGTAAATTCTATAAAAAGTAATTTAAGTGAATAAAATCTAAGTGAGCACTTTAACTATTTAACACGTCATAAGTTCTACATTTCATTCATGTTGTTAGAAACTAGTCAAAACATTTTTCAAAAGAATTTCTTAACAAAAACTAGATTATTTCCTCTAATACTTTTGTTATATTCTTATGCCATATAACAGGAAATGACTCAGTTATAATTAATGTACTAATATCAATTATGACTTAAACAGCTAGTAAATAATAAATGATGTTGGAAAAGTTAAACAAAAGGTAAAATTGTATTTCATTAAAAAAATACCTTAAGTATGCTTTATATACTTTTATTAAATTGCCTTGGTGAACGTTAAAATTAATAGCATACTTTTAAGAGGTTGCAAAAACAATTCACAATGTTAAATCTAAACTTATTCAGTGTAAATTAACAGTGAAAAACAAAAGACTTAAGCAGCATGCGCAAAATTATCGCTATGAGAGTGTTGCCAGTTTTGTTTTACTAAAGCCCCCTTTAATAGCACACAAGTAATATGATCTGTTAACATTTTTTTAACGTAACCCTCACATATTAAGAGAAAATTTGGTCGTATGTCTTTTCTTAAATTAGACGTGTATTTACAAAAGTCTTGGGAAAATCAAAGGATATAAAATGAAATTAAAACAAAACGAAGGGAGTTGTGATTACTGTAACCAGATCAAGAGCGCAAAAAATTATTCTTTTGGAAACACTTCTGACACCTTCGTGCGAAGGGTCACCTGATATGCAAAAGGGCGTAAGAAAACTTTTAAAAATTTTATAGGAGAGACGAAACACTAAATAAAATAAAAACTATTGTTTGCTATAAAACTTTATTTTTACAAAATTTATATCAAAACATCAATAAACACGTTTGAATATGACTTTACCGCCAGACATTGTCTATTATGTAGCTTTTTAGGACTTTCTGACTTGTGTAAATGACAAATTTGTTATTTTTGAATTTCATGTCAATAAAGTCCGATTTTTTGACAAAAAAAAAAGTGCTAAAACTTAGCGACAACATGTATTCTGATGCAGTGGACCATTTTCAATCAAAAAGTCGATTTAAAATTTTTTGGTTGTTACACTTTTTTGTATTTCAGGTGACGATATGTTTGTTTTTTATTCCGTTTGTAATTTCCACAATATAATTTTCTGCATTCTTATAGATAGAAGAGTCGATTAAGCAATATCCATCCGTCTGTGTGCCTGTTGAAATCAATTTTCTCAAGACACCAGATATCTTCGGTATACAAATTTTCAAAAATGCTCTCAGACATGCTTTTGACAAGTTTTTCATTAAAAATCAGCAAAATTGGTTCATAAGTAATGGAGATATGAGCAAAAAACCGAGACAAACTCCGAAAATGTCATTAAAATGATTTACAACAACACATCATCATATTGTAAATTGTGTTCTCGTACTTAATTAGCTTTTTATAAAGACAAAAATATTTAACTTAAAGCGTGGGGTAAACGAGAACATATAAAAAGGGAATTTTTTGGTACTTTTTCGTTCTTCAAAAGATGTTTTTTGAATTTTCTATAATAGCGAACCTAGAAACATACAAATGCAAATCTGTAGGAAAGAATTTTTGAACTTTTTCGTTCTTTAACTGAAACTTTTTCGTTTTTATGGAATATTGAATGGATGGATGGAATAAAAATCTGTAAGAATGAATTTTTTGGTACTTTTTCGTTCTTCAATTGGTACTGTTTGAATCCATTTTAATATTGAACCTATAAACATAGAATTAACAAGCGGCACCCTGATTGAATGAAAATCTATAAAATCTTTTTCGTTTTACAACTGTAATAAAGTTAGTACTGACTGTTTTTTTATGTACTCTCCAAAAACGTTAAATTTGCATGGTAAAACAGAATTCTGAGGTATCATCTACAGTCGGATTCCGGTACAAATCGATGATTTGTCTTAAATATTAAACAATTAATTCAATTACTTTGAAACAAATGTTAAACCAATTACAAGCCATGTAATTGCTTATTAATCCCTCAATTAATTTACCTGCAAGTTTAATTATCAATTAACCTTCACTAACAAAATAAGTAAAAGTATTTAATCCATTAATAATAAACACAAAATCGATATAAGATTTCTTCTTTGTTTCATCAAATTTACTACATTTTTTTCCTTTATTTCAGAGCGTTTGAACGCATTTCATTTAATCGTAAAAAAATATTTAACTTATAAATTAAATTTAAGCAAAAGTATTAAGTAAAAAACACATAATTATTTAAATACAATACTCGTTGTAGTTGTTGTGGATTTCTATAAATTTTTTGTTCCAGCACTAGAGGCAATTTGTTTGTTTTGCATTTATGATGTATGGAGTGGCATGGAGTCGTCGTAATAATAGTAAAAAACAAAAACAAAAATTATGTTGAATGAATAAGAGCATCTAGATTAATGAACTGATGAAGGCAGTGATCAACTAAAAGTGGATGAATATAAATCGGTAGGTATGTATGTATGTATGTTGATTTGAGTAATTGGAGTATTATACATTTTATGATAAGTAGTAAATTAAAGAGAACTATTAATATGATGAGAGAGTTAGAGAGTGTTTGTAAATAGGGATCGTTACAGGTTTTATTGAAACGATAGAGATAAAGATAGAGATCGGTTAGGAAAATATATATACAAAAGTATGTTTATGAGTTGAGTTTCTGTGTTAAGTGCAGACTTTGCCATTTCACTGCTTTTTTATTCTTCTTGTTATTTTTCTTCTTTGCTTTTTTCCAAGTTTGCCTTTAAACAATAATCCTTTTAATATCATCGAGGTCGTCAACGGGGGGAAAGTATTTAGTAGATTTGAGGACTTGTTTTATAAGGGTTTGTGGGGTAATTAACTTACTAAACTAAATAATTTACAAAGATTTTACGGTTTTGTTTTTTTGTCTACGAGAAAGAAAAATGGCTACTTAATAATGACCATGGGCACCATGACCAGCATAACCACCATAACCATGACCAACAGCTACAGCAGCTGGGGCATGATGCGCCACAGAGGCATAGTTGATGGCAGGAGCAGCAGCAACATGATGAGCTACAGCGGGACCAGCATGAGCATAAGCGGCGGGTGCGGCATGAGCATAGACTGCTGGAGCGGGAGCAGCATGTACTACTGGGGCAGGAGCATGGGCATGTACTGTAGGGGCGGTTTTGTGAACAACAGCGTTGAAACCATTGTGATCATCAGCGGTGTATTCAACGGTACGCACTGAACCGTCAGGTTCAACCAAAGAGTAAGAGCCCTTGACTACATCACCATCACGTACTTCATGTTGTGACTTGACATCGCCAGTATGTGAATCAGCAACACCATAGTTGTAGTGATATTTGGGGTAAGACTGCAACAAAAAAAATCATAACTTATTTTTAAAACTTAAGAATATTGTTAAATAGATAGGACCGATCTTAAGACTTGTTTTTATTTATCTTTTTATGGAAGAAATTACTACGGCTCTTAGTTTTTATTTACATATAAATAATAAATTTCAAATATTTATAGTCACACGTGTAATAAACAAATTGTAAACATTTTTGCACATATTTTTAAAACAGTAGCTATAGTAGTAGTAGCTGCAATTGTGTCATAAAATTACCGGCTTTATAAATATTTCTACAAGATTATGCCAGCCATATGCATGTTTTTGCTTACACTGCTGCATATAAATAGATGTGCTACATTTGATTATAACTTTTATGCGCCAAAGTATGTCAGTTTACATGATTAAACATTGAACATAAGTGAAGCAGAAATAAACAATGGAAATGAAAAAATAAAAGAAATACGCAGACTTTCATAGTGAATGAAAATATGTTGCAAGATGTACACATAACGAACTTATAGCATGTAAGTGTCTCTTGAAGTTTAAATAATGTATAAACTTTTGAATGAAACTAAAAGTTGAATAATTTTGATTCAAGAGTTCTTAATGAAATCGCGTGTTTTACTATTTTTTAATATTAAAAAAAAAACAAAGCAGACGGGAGCGTTTTTTCTCATATCAAATGTTGCAACGATCTTGAATTATGTTATTTATTTTTAGAGATTTTTTTTAGAACATTTCAAAGAGATTTTGCGATAAAGTAAATAAAAGAGTGGCATTCAAAAGACTTAAGTGACAAACTCGAATTTTGAAATTAAAACATTAATTACAAAAACTTAAATTCAATTATAATTTTTATAAATTTTGAGGGAAATACTTTTCAAGTATGTCGTTTAAATTATTTGCATTAATAAAATGTTTTGCAATAATTTGAAAGGGAAGCCAATAGGTTTGTTGCTTAAGTCTTTTATTATTTGCTGTTTATAAAATTTAATGTGAAACATTAAAAGTCTTAGAATGTTCAAAAGGAAAGAAAATAATGGATATTGAAACTACTTTATAAATTACTTAGTTTTCATCAAATTACACTTGAATCTCTTATGTTGTTAATTACCTACATGTTAATGCAAATTATATACCATCATGTGCAAAGTATCTTCATTTGTTCGCTAAAACCCACGAAAATTTAAAATATATTTACTAAGTTTTTTCTTTGTCTAATACCATTAACTAATTGCAGACAATGAACAATTTTTTAACATTGTTGTTTGAAATTACGTGTGCTGCGATCATGCAAGTTTTACTAATTTTCCCCCCTCTGACTACTGACAGACTGGTAAAAATGTGCTGCAATTCATTATTTATGTCATTTAGTATTGTCTGCAAATGATTCTTCTTTTTCTATATGTCACAATTTACACTTTTACATATATTAAATATATATTAATATCAGTAATATTTACTGGTAATAATTGCAAGAAAAAATAATGAAACAAGTCAATAGTGTGGTTAAATACAATAATGAAATATTATCTTCTTTGTCATAAAAAATAGATATTGTATTGCGACAAACTTTATGGGAGAATTTTTAAAGAAGCGAAGTTATTGTTTAATGTATTTTTTTAATATTTATATAATGGGAAATGTATTTTATTGTTGAATAAATGTTTAATAATTATATTATTTAAATGTTAAATGTAAAATATAAACAACAGATATAATTTGTTGTGTGATGGATGTGACTTAAATGAATTAATTAAATACATTCTTTATATTTTAAAAATATTTGTTTTAATTTTTTTTAAATATATCATATTTAGAAAATTATTTACTTATTTCTCTATTTAGAGGATTTTAGTAAAAAAAATTTGAAAAATTTTAAATTTTTAATAAATTTTATATTTTTTCAAAATGTTTTACTAATTTTCCGCAAATTTTATATATTTTTATTTTTGATATTTTGTTAAAAGTTCAATAAATTTTGTATTTTCAAAAATTTTCGACAAATTCTAAATTTTGAATTTCAATTTCTATTTTAAAAAATTTACTAATAAATTTTTTAGAAATTTTCCACAAATTTTCTATTTGTCCAAAATGTTCGATTAAATTTCAAATACTTTTTTTAATAATTTCTATTTTTAGAAAATGTTGAATTATTATTTAACATTGGAAATTTTTCAATAAATTTCTATTTGGAAAAATTGTTCGATATTTCATTTTTTTAAATCTTAATTTCAAAATCTTTGTCTTTCTTATATCCATGTTGTCTATATAGATTTGAGTTAGTTTTATTTAACTTACATGATAATCCAAGCCCTCATCGGGATGACCACCATGGCCATGGGCATATACAGCTGGGGCAGCAGCATATAAAGCAGGACCAGCATGGCCACCATGTAAGACACCAGCGGTAGCAACACCCACAACAGCCAAGCAGATCAAGGACTAAGAAATAAACAAACAAATAAACACTTCTATTAAACACTGCACTCTTTGTACATTTATTTTATGTATTTTTAATTCAAAGAACTTTTTAAATATATTTTGTTTTTAATGTAATTAAGTCCTTATTGTCAACAAATACTTGTTCAATGAACTTGCACACAAACACACTCACTTTAAAGAAAGCCATTTTTAGATTTAAGGATTTTTTGTAAATTAGTTTAGTTTATTTTGTAGTTTATTAAACCAAGAGGTCTAGACGACTCAATGTATTGTAGTCAACTGATAACTAGAACCAAGAAGGAAATTGCTTTTATATACAAAATATTTCAACAAAACTAAAACATAAAACTCTTAAAATACTCTCGTCGCATATACAACAAAAATACACAGACTCCACCCGTAGTAAATAGTAACAAATGAAATAAAAAAAATTAACAAAAAAATATGAAAAACTTAAAACAACCACAAAATACTCAACATTAAAGAGGGTTAAAAGCTAAACAGCAACAAAAACTACAACATTATGTTTAATACTTGTACTTGAACAACAACAAATGCAACAATAAAACATAGAAATATACAAAAATTAAACTATAAAACCAACAACAAATAAACACTGTCAAAGTTGGCAGAATTAGATTAAATAATAATAATAAACAAAAAGTAACCAACACCACCAACAACAATTGCAAACATACGAATACGAACAGCAAACTGTGAGTACAATTTTTACTCTTACTTGTTGCCAGCTAACATGTAGTTGGTATGTGTGTGTCTACTTTACTTTTATAATTTTCTAAACACATACACAGTGGGACAAGTTAGTGTAGTTTTTATTTAATTTAGAATAAATTCTCAGGATAAAGAACTAAAATATAATAATTTGGATACAACAAAATGTTTTCAAATTTGAACACATTTTGAAAAGTGAGTGCGTCGGATGTTGTTCTCTATAAGTGTTTCGAATGAACGAGAAGCGTGCTGAATTGAATGGTGATACCAGTGAATTTTCCTACACTGTCCAGGATGTCAGTGTGTTCTGAGTAAAAACAAGTGTTCGGCTCATTTGATGGATTCGTCTTTTGGTCTACCGAATACGTCTCTGCTGCTGCCGACTCAAAAGAAATCATCCCATCTACGTGCTTGTAAACGGATGTGAAGATTTTTCATCTCGGAAGTTAAGCAACGGGGCAAAAATGGTCCGAGATTAGACGGCTCGAGCAAAGAGCTTGTACAATGTACTTGGACTAGACTTTAGGCTAGACTAGAGACAAGACTTTTGACTAGACTATAGACTAGACTATAGACTAGACTATAGACTAGACTGTAGACTAGACTATAGACTAGACTATAGAATAATTTTTGTGAATTGTATATTGCAAAAAAAATCAGAAAGTCATAGCCAGTCGCCGGACAGACGGAGGGACACATATGCCTTAATCAACTTTAATTAATTAATAATTATAATCCAATTGGTATACTTTGTTATATTGGTTCATATTGATCATATACCTTTGAGTGTTACAAACATTAGCAATACAATATACCCTCCCCACTGAAGTATAAATAACAGTTAAACTACCCATATTTAAATTTTTTTTCTTTCATCGATCCACGGTATTCAATCATTAGTTTCATTGTTGAAGTGGCGGTGAACCAACCTTATTTTTCTATGCTATAATTTTGAGCAAAGTTTGCTGTTGATTTTGTATTGAAAGCGAGAGTATTTGTTTGAATAGAAGTTAAATCAGTCTATGATTAGAGTTTGATTTGTTTGGTAGTAGTAATTGGTTTTAGACAAAATACAGAATAAAATATATATTTAAAATAAAACTACGGCTGCTGTATTTTTCAAATTAAAACGATGTGTGTGTTTTATTTTGTGTGTTTTACAGTGACGTTGTGTCTTAATTTGTTGCTTGATTTCTTCTTGTGAATCGTACTTCTAGATGAATGAATGAGAATCTGAAACTTGTTGTCAATTAGTTTTTTTTTTTTGTTTCTATTTATTTGCAACAATATTCTTGCATAAAATTTTAACATGCTGAATATTAAACAATAAATAAAATTCACACCTTTTTTCCTATACTTGCATTAGATCAATTTTTGTTTTCGTAAATTCAGTGCTAGACATTGATGGCTAATTAAAAATATTTAAATTGGTTTAAGACTCGCAATGCAAATTAAAATTTGAATTGAGTTTTTTAAGCAATTTTCGTTTTGGTTTTGGAAAGGAGTTTTTATTAAGAATTTTATTGTTAAAGTGATTGTTGTTTTAATGTAGAATATTTTTTGTTTATTTTTAATTTGTTAATTAAGAAATCTATTAAAATCTGTATAGTTTGGAGGAAATTTAGCTTTGTTTTGAAATACAAGTCACGGTCAGCTTATAATTTTTTTAGAGTAAAAGAAATACTTTCAGCAATTTATTTAATTTCATAGTTTTAATTATTGTTTTAATACTTTTAAATGTTATGAATAAATTGGAATTTATTTAAAGAAGACTGTGTGAAGAATATTAATTTTAGCTTTATTATAAATAAACATTTCATAATATTTGTCATTCCTTTAATCAGTTTTAAAGCATCTAGTTTATTGTTATCAAATGGTTTCAAAACATGTAAAATGATTATAAAAACTCTTTAAATGTCTCCGAGAACAAACTTAATTTATACATACTAATTACACACTTAAGATAAATATTCACAATTTGGTTGCTAAAATTAAGTAAGTATTTATGAAGAGCAATATATACCACACATATAAAACAAAATGTATGCAAATCATACATTTCCAGGAAAAATTTTTCTACAAAAACAAGTTCTTGAACCATCTTGAACATTGAAAAACTATAATTATTTTCGCATCTTCGGAAGTCTTTAAACATTACTTTCTCAGAAGGTTAATAAATTCACTTGGTGTTACTTTTGAAGTAGTGATTTATGTTATTCTTTTGGAAGTACTTCGTTTTATTTTTGCTGGGTAGTAATACTTTCACAGAACCAATTCCGTAGTTAATAATTTCGTATAAAAATATGTCTCTACCCCAAACATAAATAATAAGAAACAAACTCTTTTGTTTTAGCTGATTGTTACCAAATAACTGAAAACTGCAACAGTGCATAACTAATCATGATTTTATGCTAAAATAAGCGTACTACATTAAAGGATAGAAACACCATGATTAGCAAACTAACTGCAATAATTTACAAAGAAGATAAAATACCGGATTCTAAGAAAATAAAGCATGACTATAACCATTTGACAAAAAATATATACTTTTTTAAATACATATGCTACACCATATCCAATTGCATTTAAACATTGCATTTTAAAAAATATATTAAACAATTTTGAAATATATTTTAGAAAATTGTTTGAATACAAATAGAAAATTATTTTATTGCTCAAATGAACATTTTGAAATATAAATAACTTTAAAATCACTGTTTTAATTGGAATTCAAATTTTGTGAAATAGAATCACAAATGGTGTTGTTCAAATATATTTTTAAAGATAATCTACCGTTAATGAAGTAAATAAACAGTTGGAAATATTTATGGTTTTTTATCTCAATATTTATATTTGAACTTAACTGTTGCCATTTATTGGTTTTAAATCGAAAACATTTAGTCTTGCGTTTCGCCTCAATTATGTTAATTCATGCTTGAAAATCTCTTGGAGACTCTTTTTTGTACTTTTTTACTTAACTGTCATTTGACAGCTGTGTTTATTGTCTTTATATTTTTTCTTCGTTTAATGACTTGATTACCGTTATTTCTGCATATTATTGATCCGTTACATGTCGTGATAACCTTGATATGATTACATGAATTTAATTATTCAAATAAATTCAAACGGAAAACATGACAACCACAATAATTTCATTACAAAATATTTGCCAAATCGTAGTCATAAAAATGGTCTACAGTCAACGGAAGATAAATAATGTTTAATAAAATGACAATAAATATTTATTTATTAGGTTTAAGAAAAATAACTAAAATAAATGATGCAGAACTTCAGGTTTCTTAAAACTATACTTTTTGTTTAAATATGTTTGTTATTTTAAGAAAAAAAAACATTAAATGTAATTTTTTTAAGTTTTGGTTTTATGGTTAAAATTTCATAAAAATAAACCATAGTAATAAAAAAGCTTTACAAAGTTTTGTGGTCTTGAATAACTCCCACAGTTATTTTTTATTACAACAAATGAAATTGTGTAATAAACATATTGTAGTCTTTAGCTTAATAATACATACATATAGATAATAAAGAAAATTTAATTAAATTCACAATTATTTGTTGTAGCAAGTATTAAGTAAATTGGTTATTTTCGCAATGTATCAAATATTGGTTTTGTACTGTATATTTCTACTAAGATGGACTTTTTATAAACAAACTAACACTTATGTTCACTGCGATAATTTGTCCACCATAAGTCAGCCTTCTTCAACATTATCTTATATTTAAAAAAAACTTGGTCTTTAAAACAGTATGAAAATTCAAGTAACATAAAATTTCAAAACACCTATTGTTTTTTTACAAACTTTTAATGGCCGTCATTTAATTACTTAAACTAGAGCTAAATGTTTAAAATGCTTCAATAATTCAATTACACGACAATTAGTTACTTAAATGGTTCATAATACAATTAGTACAGGATATAGTAAGGTCGCACTTAAGTGCACAAAAGTGATACGACAATCACAAATTTCGCAAAATAGTCGTATTCGTACGTGTTTTTGCTCGCATTACTTAACAAAACAAAATCTTGTTGAAACAAATAATAGTTAATTAAACAATTTTAATGTCTACAACATAAATACGACTACTGAAAAAAAATTTGAAAAAAACAAGAACAACACAATTATTAATTTCTGCAAATCAACAACAACAACAAAACTACCATAAACATATAGAAAAAATCTGTTTACCGCAAACAAAATAATAAACTTAACATGAAAAAAGTGTACGAGTAATTATTTAGTGACCCATTGCTGCAGATACATAGTTTTATACTCTACCCCAGGTATTGGACATTTTAATTTTGAAATAGTACTTAGTTTTTAAGGGTGCATTCTTAGGTTAAAAGTACCAAATTACTTTTTTGAGTAGTTTTTGAATAGACCAGGCTTACTAGTGTATATATGATGTTGTCGACCTTATTAAAGACAAATTATTCTCAATGATCATGGAATTAGTCCCTGGCGAAATATACGGAAAGAAAAAATACTCGAGTTTTTAGATTACTATTTCATCGTGCACACGTTTATTTTTATACCAGTTGCAGAACGAAAAAGTACCTAAAGTGCCTTTTTATAGATTTTGATTTACTCAGTACTCTGCATGGTTTCTATTATAGATAACTCAAAAGGTACCAGTTAAAAAA